TTCCAGACCAATCTGAACAACATGGAGAAACCCTGTCTCTACTAAAAATACAAAATTAGCTGGGCCTGGTGGCAGGTGCCTGTAGTCCCAGCTACTTGGGAGGCTGAAGCAGGAGAATCGCTTGAACCCGGGAGGTGGAGGTTGCAGTGAGCAGAGATCACACCATTGCACTCCAGCGTGGGCAACAATTGCAAAACTTCATCTCAAAAAAATAAATAAACGGCCGGGCGCGGTGGCTCAAGCCTGTAATCCCAGCACTTTGGGAGGCTGAGGCGGGTGGATCATGAGGTCAAGAGATCGAGACCATCCTGGTCAACATGGTGAAACCCCGTCTCTACTAAAGATAAAAAAAATTAGCTGGGCATGGTGGCACATGCCTGTAATCCCAGCTACTCAGGAGGCTGAGGCAGGAGAATTGCCTGAACCCAGGAGGCGGAGGTTGCGGTGAGCCGAGATCGCGCCATTGCACTCCAGTCTGGGTAACAAGAGCGAAACTCCATCTCAAAAAAAAAAAATTAAATAAAATAAATAAATAAATAAATAAACGAAATGAAATGAAAACAGTGTTCTCTGGGCTCCTTGGTTGTACACTGCGTGTTTTTCACCTGGGGAATGAAGTTTCCTGTCACAATTGCACAACCCCAACTTTGATTTTGTTTTTTTCTTTTAAGATGGAGTCTCTCTCTTGTCACCCAGGCTGGAGTGCAGTGGCATGATCTCAGCTCACTGCAACCTCCACCTCCTGGGTTCAAGCAATTCTCCTGCCTCAGCCTCTGGGATTACAGGCACCCCCGACTGAGCCAGCTAAATTTTGCATTTTTAGTAGAAACGAGGTTTCGCCATGTTGGCCAGGCTGGTCTCAAACTCCTGACCTCAGGTGATCCCTGGCTTTGGCCTCCCAAAGTGCTGGGATTACAGGCTTCAGCCACCGTGCTTGGACCAGAGGATTTTTTTTCTTTTTTCTTTTTCTTTTTTTTTTTTTGAGACGGAGTTTCGCTCTCGTTACCCAGGCTGGAGTGCAATGGCGCGATCTCGGCTCACCGCAACCTCCGCCTCCTGGGTTCAAGCAATTCTCCTGCCTCAGCCTCCCGAGTAGCTGGGACTACAGGTGTGCGCCACCATGCCCAGCTAGTTTTTGTATTTTTAGTAGAGACAAGGTTTCACCATGTTGACCAGGATGCTCTCGATCTCTTGACCTCGTGATCCACCCATCTCGGCCTCCCAAAGTGCTGGGATTATAGGTGTGAGCCACCGCGCCCGGCCCCAGAGGATGTTTGTTTTTGATGGTCAGGAGGTAGTGCCTGCTTCTTAGTACCAATAGAATTGGCTGGGTCCATCTGTTCTTTGCGCTGGTCTCAGTTTACCTAGATTGAGCAGGCACTACTTTTTTGCCTGCAAGTCTGTGTGTGCCCTGCCCTCTAGTGGTTTTGGGGTTACACTGCAGCAGTGACCTTGAGTGTACCTAATTTTACCTCTTGCAATTCTCCTTTCCTCTCTAGAATAGAAATGTCCTTGCAACATTAGGAACTGGTGCACTGGAATTCCCGGGGCATTCAGGGGCAACCCTGGCCTGATCTGAGCCCTAGGGCAGTAGTTTTCAAACTTTAGGGCATAATTCTTTTTTTTTTTTTTTTTTTGAGACGGAGTCTTGCTCTGTTGCCAAGGCTGGAGTGCAACAGCCCGATCTCCGCTCACTGCAACCTCCGCCTCCTAAATTCAAGCGATTCACTCCTGCCTCAGCCTCCCTAGTAGCTGGGATTACAGGTGCCTGCCATCATGCCCAGCTAATTTTTATATTTTTAGTAGAGACGGGGTTTTGCCATGTTGGCCGGTAGGTCTCAAATTCCTGACCTCAGGTGATCCGCCCGCCTTGGCCTCCCAAAGTGCTGGGTGACAGGTATGAGCCACCACACTCGGCTCTTTAGGGAATAATTCTAATTCTGTAGTCTGGAGCGAAATCCAGGTACCTACATTTGTAACAAGTCCCCCAGGTAATTCTGATGCAGCGATCTTCAGGCTACATCTTGAGAAGTAATGTTCTGTAACAGCTCTCCTCCAGAATTTCCCTCTCACTGCCCCCCAGTAAGAGTTTTCCCTGAGTCTCAGTGCAAGTACCCTTGGGGTTTGGGGAATCTCAGACCAAATGATCCCCTCCCCTTGGCCAACTGAGTGTCCGGCTTCAGGAGACCACACCTTGGAGAGTCAGGGATGGAGGATGCAGCTGGCCAGCAGTCAGCCTGTGTTGAGTGGGATCAGCTCTTGCTAGCCTGGCAAGGAGAAAAGTAAAGGAAGCTAACAGTTAGTGCACCAGCTGCTGACCAGTGTGGCAGGTATTTGTGCTAGGTGTTTTCTTTTTTTTTGAGACAGAGTTTCACTCTTGTTACCCAGGCTGGAGTGCAATGGAGCGATCTCGGCTCACCGCAACCTCCGCCTCCCGGGTTCAGGCAATTCTCCTGCCTCAGCCTCCTGAGTAGCTGGGATTACAGGCACGCGCCACCATGCTCAGCTAATTTTTTGTATTTTTAGTAGAGACGGGGTTTCACCATGTTGACCAGGATGGTCTCGATCTCTCGACCTCGTGATCCACCCGCCTCGGCCTCCCAAAGTGCTGGGATTACAGGCTTGAGCCACCGCGCCCAGCCAGGTGTTTTCAAATTAAAATTTTTGTCTTTATTTTTGAGATGGAGTCTCACTCTGTCACCTAGGCTCACCGCAATCTCCGCCTCGGCCTCCTGAGCAGCTGGGGCCACAGATGTGCACCACCACGCCTGGATCATTTTTTGTATTTTGGGTGGAGACAGGGTTTCATCATGTTGCCTGGCTGGTCTCAAACTCCTAAGCTCAAGAGATCTGCTTGCCTCAGCCTCCCAAAGTGCTACAATTACAGGTGTGAGCCACTTCGCCCCACCATTAAAAAATTTTTTTTTTTTCTTTTTTTTTTTAAGATGGGGTTTCACCATGATGGCCAGGCTGGTCTTGAACTCCTGACCTCAGGTGATCCACCCACCTCGGTCTCCCAAAGTGCTAGGATTACAGGCTTGAGCCACCGCACCCGGCCCCCCTCCAAAAAAATTTTTTTTTTGAGACGGAGTTTCGCTCTTGTTACCCAGGCTGGAGTGCAATGGCACGATCTCGGCTCACCGCAACCTCCGCCTCCTGGGTTCAGGCAATTCTCCTGCCTCAGCCTCCTGAGTAGCTGGGATTACAGGCACGCGCCACCATGCCCAGCTAATTTTTTGTATCTTTAGTAGAGACAGGGTTTCACCATGTTGACCAGGATGGTCTCGATCTCTCGACCTCGTGATCCACCCGCCTCAGCCTCCCGAAGTGCTGGGATTACAGGCTTGAGCCACCACGCCCGGCCAAAAAAATTTTTTAAAGAGACACAGGCCAGGCGAGGTGGCTCACACCTGTAATCCCAGCTCTTTGGGAGGTCGAGGCAGGCAGATCACAAGGTCAAGAGATTGAGACCATGCTGGCTAACATCAGGAAACCCCATCTCTACTAAAAAATACAAAAATTAGCCAGGCGCGGTGGCTCAAGCCTGTAATCCCAGCACTTTGGGAGGCCGAGGCGGGTGGATCACGAGGTCGAGAGATCGAGACCATCCTGGTCAACATGGTGAAACCCCGTCTCTACTAAAGATACAAAAAATTAGCTGGGCATGGTGGCACGTGCCTGTAATCCCAGCTACTCAGGAGGCTGAGACAGGAGAATTGCCTGAGCCCAGGAGGCGGAGGTTGCGGTGAGCCGAGATCGCGCCATTGCACTCCAGCCTGGGTAACAAGAGCGAAACTCCGTCTCAAAAAAAAAAAAAAAAAAAAAAATACAAAAATTAGTTGGGCATGGTGGTGCACGTCTGTAGTCCCAGCTACTCCAGGAGAATTGCTTAAACCCAGGAGGCGGAGGTTGCAGTGAGCCGAGATTGTATCACTGCACTCCAGCCTGGTGACAGAGTAAGACTCCGCCTCAAAAAAAAAAAAAAAAAAAAGACAGGCTCTTGCCACGTTGTCCCGGCTAGTCTTAACTCATGGGCTCAAAGCGATCCACCTGCTTTGGCCTCTCAAAGTGCTGGGATTATAGATATAAGCCACTGTGCCTGGCCAAATTTTTAATTAAAAAAAAAAATGTTTAATTGTTGAAACCCCTGCAACAAACCTTGAATCTCTTATTCACCTGTATTTTGTAGCTTAGGGGAAATTATCTGTAATCAATTCACAGCTACTAGTAAGAGCTGGAATTTGAATCTAAGTTTGCCTAACTCAGTAGTTCTCAACTGGAGGAGATTTTGGCCCCCAGGAGACATTGGGTAACGTCTGGAGATACTTTTGGTTGTCAAAACGGGGAGCTGGCCAGGCGTGGTGGCTCACCTGCAATCCTAGCACTTTGGGAGGCCGAGGTGGGTGGATCACCTGAGGTCAAGAGTTCAAAACCAGCTTGGCCATCATGGTGAAACCCCATCATATTTTTTTATAAAAAGTAATAAGGCCGGGCGCGGTGGCTCAAGCCTGTAATCCCAGCACTTTGGGAGGCCGAGGCGGGTGGATCACAAGGTCAAGAGATCGAGACCATCCTGGTCAACATGGTGAAACCCCGTCTCTACTAAAAATACAAAAAATTAACTGGGCATGGTGGCGCGTGCCTGTAATCCCAGCTACTCAGGAGGCCGAGGCAGGAGAATTGCCTGAACCCGGGAGGTGGAGGTTGCGGTGAACCGAGATCGCGCCATTGCACTCCATCCTGGGTAACAAGAGCGAAACTCCGTCTCAAAAAAAAAAAAAAAAGAAAAGAAAAAAGAATTATAAAAATAAAACAATTTTTTTTAAAAAAACTGGGAGCTGGGGGTGGTTGGGTATTGCTGCTGACATCTAGGATGGAGGCCAGGGACTGCACGGATGTCCTACTGTGCACCAGGTACCTTCCCACAAGAAATTCTCCTACTGAAAATGCTGTTAAAACTCATGCCCTGAATGAAGAGACTCCCAAACAGGCTTTGTGTGAGCAACATGGCTGCTTATTTGCCCAGGTGCGGGCAGGCTGAGTCCAGAGTCATCGGAGGGCGGCGGGATAGGAGTTGGTTTTATAGGTTTGGGGTAGGCAGTAGGTTACAGAAGTTACAGTTGAGGGCGGTTTTTGCAAGCTGGCAGGGGGCCGTAGGGTCTGCAGTCACGAGGTTGAACAAGGATGGTTACAAAGTCCAATGGCCTTATCAATTGAGGCGGGAACAGGGAACCACAGAAGAATGTTTCAAGTTAATTAGGTGCTGCAGGTTGGTCATTCTTCCCCTTTTCATGGTCTTCCAGTTACTTCAGATTTTCTGCTTCCAGGAGGCCATCCTGGGGCGTCCTTGCCGGTCACGGGGGTCATCATGGCTCCACTTAGGGTCTGGCCTATGGTGCAGCCATTCAAAGAAACTTGCAAATGCCAGTGGGTGCTGAGGTTGAGAAACCTTGGACTCTAAGCCTGTGCTTTTGGCCTAGAGGGTGGCGTCAGTGCGCAGAAGAAAATGGAAAAGAGCCACCCCAAGGGCCTTGAGCTGGAAGGGGATGGGATTGGAATGCTCAGGGTAATGGAGAATCAGGGCCCCTGGTGAGGCGTCTTTCTTCCAAGCTTGGCCTGGGCCCTGCTCCATTTCTCCCCGCCTTGCCAGGTCAGCCCTAGGACTTCACACTAAGCTTGTCCTGGCGTGACCCCGACTCCCAACTCAGGGTTGGGGCAAATATTTACCTGGGGCTTCCTGCAGCACTTCCCAGCCTACGACACTGGCTTCTGCGGCCAACGTGTTCCGCCTGGAGTCCTTCAGCAGTTCCCCAGTAGCAATTGGGAGCCTTGCTCTGGGTGGGATGGCTACTGTGGGCCGGGCACCGCTGAAAGCAAAAAACAGAGCCGCTCAGGGAGCCGGTGGCAGCTGAGAACAGTTAGAAGTGGAGTGAATGGGCAAAACCAGGAGCATTCCATCAGCAGGCCCCTGTCCAGGGAGGAACAGAGCAACTCTGAAGCAGGAAAGGCCGCAAACAAGCCTCTGGAACACCGAACTTGGAAGGAAGTGGTGGTTTATTCAGCTGGGAGCTGCGGTGGGCCTGAATGCCCTAATAGCGCAGATCCCCAACAAAGAAAATCCTTGCCCTTTTAAAGGCTTACAGCTCTAGAAATTACATGGGAAAGGGTCTTGATCCATGAAGTAGGCGTGGGGTGTGTGACTTAGGTGGGGGTGTGATCGTGTTTAAGCGAAAACAGTGCTTCCCGGAAAGATTCCTCCACACCATACCCGTGATGTATGGATGGGATTGTGGTTAGCAGTCGGGGTCTTATCCTTAACCTGGCTGGCGGCACCCACCAGTTGCTCCTCTGGCTGACTTCTAACTTCTTTTGAAATGTAATGCAGAGGGCTGAAGGGGAAATGGCATTAGAAGCAGAAGAGGACTGGTGGTCTTCTTCCTCAACTTGAGTAGGAAGTAGGGGGCCGCTGGCCTGGGAAACAGCGTTTTGACCAGCTGGTTTACTTCCCATAGGCATTCCTCCTCCCTAAGCTGGGTCCTCAGGTTCACTGCACCCTCCCCAGCCCCAGCCGCCATTCTGAACCTCCCCAATACTGGCCTCCCCCTCGACCAGGGAGAGTCTAGCCCAGATGGTCCGAACTGACAGTGCCAAAAGGAAATACCTCTTTCCAAGCCCAGAACCTCTTAAGCACTGAGGACCAGATGGGGGCTGGGGTTGGGGGAGATAGTCTTGGAGTGATGGGGGAAAAGAAAGATCATACAATCACCCCCCCCATGTTCTTCTTTCCTTCGCCACCCATGGGGGTGGATCAGGGGATGGGGGAGGGTTAAGCAAGGAGGAGGATGTGGTAACAGCTGATTCGTCCCCAGAGGTCACACTTTCCAACAATCAGCTGTTACTGGGGCGGAAGGCAGGAAGTTTCCTTAAAGGCGCAATGTTCTGAATGCACGCTCAGAATTCTGGAGCTCTGAGGAACCTTATCGATTACCTGATGGAGCGATTATTTATCAGATGGAACGATCTCACCCTCCAGGCTCATCTCTCCTGCCCAGTTCCTCTCAGACACTCTTTGGAGCTTAAGGAAAAGTCATGGATTTCAGTCCACACGTTCCTCTTCGGGGGGTCGCGGGGAGTGATGAGGTGGGGCAGGTCTCAGGCTTGCCCCTTTAAAAAAGCGGACCAGCAGCTTTTGCCAAGTCATTGGGTTCATTTCAGTTTGTGCCCATCCCCCGCTCACCTAGACTCTGATTGGCCCCTGGGGAAGGAGCAGCCTGCTCATTGGTCTCCACCTCTGAAATCTCTTCCCTAAGTAGGCCTGAGTCAGTGAAGAGCTTTGGAGGGCGGGACTGAATAGGGGTTAATCAGAGGATGCGATTGCTGACCATTTGCACTTTGGCATGGCCCATCCCCTAATTTCTGACCAGAAGCCCTCCCTCTACCTTAAGGTGAGGACTGTGCTATGAATCTTTTGTTAGAAAGCTACCTCTTGGGAGGCTGGGACTGGGAAGAGACATCCAAGCAAAAAGCCTCCTCTGGTTAGGAAGGGCTCCCAGGAGGAGCGGGCTGGGCTGGGCTGGGCGAGGTGGGCATCCGCCCTCCTCCAAAATCCGCAGAGTCGGCCGCCCTGGGCGCTGATGCTCTGCCCACTCCTGCTCTTGAGTCAGCTCCACCTTTCCTTAAAGAGCTAGAGCGTCCTGCGGAGGCCGGCGAGTCCGTTTGGGGGATGTCTAAAAGAAGCACTCACGGCTCCAACACAGAGGGGCGGTCGCCCTTTAAGGACTTCCCTGGGCTGGATTCCGAGCTCAGTTTAAAAATGCCAACTCACAGAGCGCGCTGGGTTCTGGGAATGAGGGTGTCGGGCTGCGAACTACACGGACCGGCATGCACCGCACACGCAGACGCCGTGACTTTCGCCAGCTCTTTAGGACTCTCGTTTGACGTAGCGCTTTTCTAAGCAGGTCGCTGACGCGAAAGGCTGAGCCACGCCCTTCCATCTATTGGCCGGCTCCGGAGTTGGTGGGCATGGCTTGGTGCAATGCCGCTTGGCAAAGGGGTAGCCTCCTTGCCAATCAGAGCCAGGGCGCCCGGAGAGGCGGGATCAGGGCGAGGCCCCGGCGCCCTCGGATGGGCGTGGCCACGTTGCCCAGCAGTGGGCGGTGATTGGCCCCGGACTGCGATTCGCAGCTCGTGCGTCACGACGCCGCCAGCTGATCGGAGCCTGGAGCCGGTGTGTGCTGGGCGCCGAGAAGAGACAGCGCCGCCGGCCGTGGGGAGCGGACGCAGTGATTTGCTCCCCTCCGCGCAGCAGCCCCCACACCCAGCACCAGGTGGGTGTGAGCTGATGACCCGGTCACGCAGCGGGAAGCCGCGGCGACGGGATGGAGGGCGAAAGTGGGGTCCGGGCGGCCACACCCTGCCCTTCCGTGGAGGAGAGAGGGGGCGGCGGGGGGCAGGGGCGCTGCGGGGAGAGGGGCCTGGACTGGCCGGGCGAGTGTGGCAGGAGCGCGGAAGAAAGAGTCCGGGGTGGGAATCGTGGCGGAAGGGCTGGCGGAGTAGCGGCCGGGGGCGTGGGGGAAGCGCAGGGGCCGGAGGGCCGGAGGGCCGGGGGCGGCTCACCCGGCGACCCCCGGCCTGAGGATACAGGGACCGGCCATCTAGCCTGGGGAGGCTCTGGACCCCCCGAGCGGGCGGCGAGGAGGTTCTCTGCCGCTACCGGCGTTCACTGGGTCAGGGCCAGTTCAGCGCCCTGGCAGGGAAGGGGTCTCTGGGCGGGCCGGCCCCTCCTCTCGTTCCCTCCGGGGGATGTTATGTAAGGGGGGAGGGGAGGCGAGTAGGGGGCGGCGGTGCCGGGGCCTTATGCAACCCAAAGGTTAGGGTTTCACCGCGGTTGGGCGGGGGGAAGAGGGCAAGAGGAGGGCCTGGAAACTCTAACCCCCGCTCCCCAGACTAACTGGCCGTCTTGGGCCGAAAGAAGGTCACCTCTGCACCTCCCCCCAGCCTGTCCTGTCGTGAGGCCCCTAGCCCAGGCCTGGCCCCGACTGCCTGGGAAGCCGGCTGGCTGGGTGGGGCGCCTGGGTTAGTCATCACTGGGCTGCCTCTCTCCCCACCTCCCGGCCAACTCTTGGCCCCTCCCCATGGCCTAGGCTGTCGCCCCCACCTCCCTCCGGCCCTGGTTCCAGCCTCCAACTCTTTTGGCCTGTCATCCTGGCTGTCAGACTGGACGAGGGGCTGTCAGAGTGCCAGGGGGTTGATGGAGCAGCTGGTCAGAGGGTCAGTGCCCTGGGCCCACCCCACCCTGCAGCCAAGGGCACCTGCTTGGCACAGACTCTCAGCAGCTGCCGAGTCCTCTCGGCTGAACGGAGCCATCTCAGACAGAGGAAAGTCGCACAGAGTTGGACTGGTCACCTAGGGGAAGGAAGACACCACAAAGTTCAGGCCTCCCAAGAGGGTTTCGGAATTTGAACCGCGCCCCGTATCCCCAAATCTTTCTTACACTCTGAGTGTAGAAATTCCAAGGGAAGACCGCCCGGGCCCCTCTGCCCAGCGTGGGCCATGCCCTTGGACCGAGTGTCGGCACACACCCGCCCTCCCCAGCTCACATCCCCCGAGCCTGCCACGCCCCCAGCCCCCTCCCTGGGCCATGCTGCAGGGCCCGGCTTTTCCTGCTGATTCATGCGTTGGAACTGTGGGGGCGGGGCTTGCAACTTGGAACAAAGTTCAGACATGGAGGGGCCGGCAGACAGCCTGGAATTCATACCAGATGTACCCGGAATGCGCAAGCGGAATGCCTGGCATCTGAGAGGCCTGGGGAAGCTGCCCAACCACCCTGCCCGTCCCTCCCTCCTCTCCAGCCTGTGGTCCCCTATCCGCCCCCTCACAGCCCCAGGAGCCTCTGCTGACCTTCTTTCCAACACTAGACTTCCTCCCTTCCTCGCTCTTCCCCAACCCAGGGCCCCAGCACTCTCCTTCCAGCTCAGCTCCCTGGGAACCAGTCAGTTGGGCCGATCCCTGAACTCACGTTTCTGGACCTGAGGTACCACACTTCTAGCACCTGGGTGCTGCTGGGGTGTGTCCAGGGTCTCAGGCCCGGCCCGCCTGAATGCTGAGGAGGCTGAGCCCCAGGCGCTGCTGGGGCAGGGGAGGGCAGAGCTGGACTGGGTTTGTGTAGACTCCAGTTCAAAAGAAGAGCAAGAGGTCTGTTAAAGCTGCCTTTTGCCGCTCGCCGGAGTTAACAGTTTCTGCAGGCCCAGATCAGAGCTGCAACCTTTCTCTAGAAGCTTGAAGGTCTGTCTGCCGGGTGGGACTCTGATGGCCAGTGGGTCAGCGGCCCTGAACCGGCCTTGCTCACGTGGCTCCCGTTCCTCCCTCTCGCTCTAGGAGCCCTCGCCTCTCATCCGCTCACCTGGCTGAGCCGCAGTAGTTCTTCAGTGGCAAGCTTTATGTCCTGACCCCGCTAAAGCTGCCAGTTGAAGAACTGTTGCCCTCTGCCCCTGGCTTCGAGGAAGACAAGGAGGAGCTGCTTTCCCCAGCATCTGGAAGGTGACAGAACCGGGGCTGGGAAGGTCCGCACGGCAGGGTTGGTGATACGTTTTGGGAAAGCTGGAGAGCCTTTGCCCAGTTGGGCCCTGCAAGGAGCAGTTTTAGATTAGCGACACTGGCTGAATTGAGGAGGAGAAGGCTCAAACAACCCAAGGTTAGTTGGTCTTTGTGTGACAGTGGGAAGGTGTGGAGAGAAGAAAACTCTGTCTACCCGACCTCCTTCTTGATCCTCCTTCCTTCCTTTCCTTCCTTCCCCACTGGCCTTTCCAGACGAGGTCCAAAAGTAAGTTCACTCTCCAAGGAAAAGTGACGCTAAAACTCGGGTGTGAGCAGGCATCCTTCTGCTCTTACTTTTTTTCTTTCTCTTTTTTGACATGGAGTCTAGCTTTGTTGCTAGGCTGGAGTGCAGTGGCATGATTCCGGCTCACTGCAACTTCCGCCTCCTGGGTTCAAGCGATTCTCCTGCCTCAACCTCCCAAGTAGCTGGGACTGCAGGCACGCACCACCACGCCCAGCTAATTTTTGTATTTTTAGTAGAGATGGGGTTTCAGCATATTGGCCAGGATAGTCTCGATCTCTTGACCTGGTGGTCCGCCTGCCTCGGCCTCCCACAGTGCTGGGATTACAGGCGTGAGCCACCATGCCCAACTTCCTTCTGCTCTTACTTTTCCCTGCATTCCCTCAGGCTGTCCCACACTCTAGACTTGTGGGCGTTTACCTGTGTCTGGGACCCTTAGCTCTCCTGCGAGATGGGGAGTCATGCAGATGAGTGGGCATGAGGGAATCAAGCCCACCTGTGTAGACTCAGAACCTGGGCTCGCCTCCCACTGTGGGTGGGAACAGAACACCTTTTCACATAAGCTGTTGTCCCTCCCCCATCCCTGACACCATCACCCAGGAGCTGGGGAGTAATGGGGAGCTGGAGAGAGATACCACAAAGTTCACACCTCCCAAGAGGGTTTCGGAGTTTGAACCGCACCCTGTGCCCCTAGTCTTTCTTAAACTCTGAGTATAGAAATTCCAAGGCAAGACTGCCTGGGCCCTCAGAGTTAGACAAATGCAAGGAGCTAGGAGAAACTCATGACGTCCCCCACGCACAGGAGGCCCCAGGCTTCCCCTGCCATCCAGGGCAGGACAGCAGCCCTGGGGGACTGTTCCTGCGGCTGCTCTGCTGCTTTCCTCACTTTGCTCTCCAGGGTGGTATGCGGTCCCCAGCTCAGGCCTGTGCAGACGGGCCAGCAGGGGAGATGGGTTATGGGATGTGACCTCCTGGGTATCAGGCAGCGTGAACCTGCCACCTCCAGCTCTGATCCAGTCTCACTCGGGCTACAGGAAGCTGTGTGTTCGCTTTGGTGGGAGGAGAGGTGCAGGGAGCTCTGTCTTCTCCACCTGTGAAAAACTGAAGGATGTGGAGAAGAGTAGACCACACAACCCTGCCTTTCTGCAGCCGAGCTGAGGGCAGGCTGTGGGGGGGGCAGCGTCCAGAGGGTGGATGGACTCGTAGGCAGCAGCAGAGGCCGCTCTGTCCCTGGACATTGCCTCCGTCCTTTCTTCTCCTTGCTTCACTGGCCACAGTGTCTCCCTCCAGCCCTCGGCATGTTCTTCTACCATCTTCACCCGTCATGGAGCAGAGGTGAGGAAAGGCAGCTTGGGAACACAGAGACCAGTGAAGGACCAGGCCTGGACAGCACAGGGTCCTCCCTGGGCCTCCAACAGAGGCCATAAAGGCCGGAGCACCCCAAGAGGAGGGAGCACAGCCAGCCTCCATCGATGGCAAGTCTCCAGCCTCCTGCTTTGGTCACCATTTCTCTCCAGTCTTTCTGCCTCTGAGATGGGGCACTGTCATGCAGTGCCCTGCGGCTTCAGCGCCCTACTTCCTCCTCCCAGCCTGTAATGTTTATATAAGCAGACTCAAGGACCAAGAGCCAGCTGTGGAAGGACACACACAGGAAATTCATAAAGGAAATTCTAATGGCTAAAACCCCGAACAAAATGTATGCTTCATTAGTAATTAAAGAAAGGCAAATAGAGCTGAAAGCATTTTTCCCTTAGCAAACCATCACAGAAAAAAATAAGACCCAGTATTGGCAAAGAGACTGCTAAAATAACATGCCCATACATTGTGTGTGGGAGGATAGACTGGTGCCGGCTTCCTGGATGGCAGTTTGGTGATATGTGCCATGTAGCCTAAAAGCGTCCATGTCCTTTGACCTGCTAATTCTATCTTTGGGAATTTATCCTAAGAAAATAAATAAGGATTTAGTTAGTTATAAGATGTTCATCCCCGCGCTGCAATGGAGAAAAATGGGAAGCAATGGCGTGGTTGGGAATTCATTCCTTTTCTGCTGTAATGAAAGTTTGCAATAGGGGATTGCTTAAGTATATTATTGTATATCCATCCAGATGGTGGAGTACTGCACAGACATTAAAAGTAATGTAAAAGAACATCTGACAGAAAAATGCTCCTTGAATATTAAGAGGTTGTAAAAATAGTGAATGTTATGTGATCTCAATTTTGTTTTTTAAAATCTGGGTTTATACTCACTGTTTACATAGAACAGATAAAGACTGAAGGCCTACTAAAAAATGTTTAGTGGTTATCTTTGGATAGTGGAATAAAATTGTGATTTTCATCTTTGGTTTTTCTGTAATTTCCAAATTTTCTACATGAATGGTGTATGACTTTCATATAATATAATTTAAGAGATCAGTGTTATTATTTAAAGCTTTGGAGAAGTGGGTGTAGAGGAAGGAAGGGAAGACCTCAGCTTTCTGGTGAGGTTTGGTTGCGGTGCCTCCTGGTTGATGAAGTTCATTCTTGGAAGTAGCTGGAATCCTCCCTCTCAGCCTACAGGAAAACAGCGCTGGATTGCTGGCTGTCCGCCAGGTAAAGAGGGGAGGAGTGGGATAGGTGGAAGGAAAGCACAGACCTGCAGCTCTTCAGGTGGTGAGGGGCTGGGGAGGCTCTTCCTCTTAAGGCTGGGTGGAGGGTTCTAGAATCCTAACAGCCCTGCTACTGAAAGCAGGACAGCTCTGTCTCTTCTGACTGCCCCGGCCTTGAAGGGACCCCGTTTTACCTTTTCCTGCCCTCGGATTGAAAGGTATCCTACCCACCCACCTGGTACCAAAGCCCTGGGGTAGGGGTGCTTTTCCGGACTGTGGTAGCCAGCGGTTCCGTTTTGCTTTCTCTTCCTGATAAGGCTCCTCTGTGGGGCCGAAAAAAATGCCGCGGGGCGGGGTGGGGTCCAGTGGGTCGTTTCTCCAACAGTGGGTTTCCTGGGGGTTGGGGGAGCAAACTACTGGAGTTAGTTTTCTGGGTATGTTAACCGGCCAGGAAACCTCAGGAGACAGAAGGGGGCTCCAAGAAAGCGCGGCGCCCAGTCCCCACCCCCGACGCTGGGAGGGAAGGGCGGGGCGGCGGCCAGGCTCGGGCAAACCTCCGCCTTCCAGGTGGTGGTGACTGCTGATGACGCTCAGCAGGTGAAAGGCGCGGGAGTGGGAGAGAGGAGGTCAAGGGTCGCGGGGTGGGGTCGGGAGTGTCAGGCGAGGTGGGACCAGAGACCGGGTCTGCAGCTCGGAACGCTTCGGGACGCACGTAGCTGGGGAGGACCCCCGAGCTGCAGCGCGCGGTCTGGTGTCCGGAGCCCCCGAACCGCTCTCCCGGGGTGGGGCGGGACGCCACCGGTTGCCAAGGCTCGGGGACGGCGGCCCAGCGGTTGCTCCAATCACCGCCCGGCCCGAGGAACGGGGCGTGGACCCGGGGAAAAGTTCCTGCGGATCCCGAAGGCGGGGCGCGGGGGAGGGCGCCTCACCCTGCCCTGCCGGGTAGTGGGGTTCCCAGTCCCCGCGGGGCCGCTGCTGCTTCCCGGTCGAGAGCGCGGGCGCCGAGGGAACCCACCCGGACCCCCCAGCCGGCCATGGTGCCGCCGGGGCTCCTCGTGACTGGCGCCTCCTTCCTAGCGTTCCGGGGGCTGCACTGGGGGCTGCGGCTGCTGCCCACGCCGGGACCCGCGGCTCCGGACAGCTGGCGGTGGCGGAACCTCTGCGTGTCCCTGGTTCACAGCCTGCTCTCGGGGATCGCGGCGCTGCTCGGGTGTGGCTTTGGGGGTTCGAGGCGCACCGGGCGGGGGTGGGGGCGGAAGGCTGAAGTCGGGAGACCCAGAGTGGAGACTGGGGTGGGGGCGCGCGTGGCGGGAGGGCGGAGCCGGGGCTTCGGGGGGCTGACCATGCCTCCCCCGTGTCCCCAGGCTGATCCTGCACCCTCAGATGGCCGCCGACCCCATCCAGAGCCACCCGCGCTGGGCCCTGGTGCTGGTAGCGGTGTCTGTAGGTGAGTCTGCAGCGAAGGTTGGGGGGTTAGGGGGAGGGGGGGCAGCCTCTGCCGTCCTGCGAGGTCCCTTTCCCCTCCCCCATGGGGGTTAAACATTCCTGAAGGCTTTACCCAGGGAAACTTAAGAACTGGAGGGGGGGGGGTGCTGGAAATCCTCTAAGCCGCCCAGCTCTGGAGAAGCCTAAGCCCCCACCCCCTTGCCCAAAGGTTATTTCCTGGCCGATGGAGCTGACCTGCTGTGGAACCAGCCCCTGGGCAAGACCTGGGATCTCCTCTGTCATCACTTGGTGGTGAGACTCTGAAGGGAGAAGCCAGATGGGGGTGGGAGCCCTGTCCAGCCTGAGGCTCCCAATCTCTCTTCATTCTTCTTTTTCTTTTTTTTCTTTTCTTTTTTTTTTTTTTTTTTCTGAGATGGAGTCTCACTCCATTGCCCAGGCTGGAGTGTAGTGGTGGGATCTCAACTCTGCAACTGTTGCCGCTTGAGTTCAAGTGATTCTCCTGCCTCAGCCTCCCAAGTCGCTGGGATTACCGGTGCATACCACTATGACCAGCTAAGTTTTATATTTTTAGTAGAGACAGGGTTTTGTCATGTTGACCAGATGGGTCTCGAACTTCTGACCTCAGGTAATCGCCTGCCTTGGCCTCCCAAAGTGCTGGAATGACAGGCGTGAGCCACCGTGCCCAGTTCTCTCTTCATTTTTCTGTCCTATCGTTTCCCACAGAGTCTCTGCCCTCAGCTGGTGCTCTGCTCCCCAGTCTTAGGCTGAGTTAGAGGGAGGAGGTGCTCCTGGCCACAGCGGGGTAGTCCAGACACCCACCATGCCTGGGGAGTTCAGGCCCCCCAAGGGTGTCCAGCTGATCACAGAAGTGTGGACTATGGAGGTTTTCTGAGAAGAGGGAGTGCTGGTATAGGGTGTGGGTATGGGGCATGGAACCCCAGGAATGGGAAGTTAAGGGGGTGAGGGGACGAGGCAGCCCCTCCCTGGGCCAAGCCTTGTTCCATCTATGGAAGGGTTGGGTTTTTTGTTGTTCTTTTTGAGACGGTGTCTCGCTCTGTCGCCCAGGCTGGAGTGCAGTGGCATGATCTCGGCTCACCACAACCTCTCTCTCCCAGGTCGAAGCGATTTTCCTGCCTCAGCCTCCTGAGTAGCTGGGATTACAGGCATGTGGCACCATGCCCGGCTAATTTTGTAGTTTTTTTTGTTTTGTTTTGTTTTGTTTTTTGAGACAGAGTGTCGCTCTTGTTACCCAGGCTGGAGTGCAATGGCACGATCTCGGCTCACCGCAACCTCCGCCTCCTGGGTTCAAGCAATTCTCCTGCCTCAGCCTCCTGAGTAGCCGGGACTACAGGCACGCGCCACCATGCCCAGCTAATTTTTTTTTTGTATTTTTAGTAGAGACGGGGTTTCACCACGTTGACCAGGATGGTCTCGATCTCTCGACCTCGTGATCCACCCGCCTCGGCCTCCCAAAGTGCTGGGATTACAGGCTTGAGCCACCGCACCCGACCCTAATTTTGTAGTTTTAATAGAGACAGAGTTTCTCTATGTTGGTCAGGCTGGTCTTGAACTGCTGACTTCAGGTGATCCGCCTGCCTCGGCCTCACAAAGTGCTGGGATGGCAGGTGTGAGCCACCACACCTGGCCAGAAGTGTTGTTTTAAGGCTGCTCAGGGCCCCAGGATAAGGGTAGGCATAAAGGTCAGGTGTTTGGGGAGTCCCACAAAAATGCATGGAAGCCTCTTTTTGACGCCCTGGGCTATTGGAACATGGTGGCTAGCAGGTCTTGGGGATCCTCTGACCTCTGACCCTGGCTCCCAGGTGGTGAGCTGCCTCAGCACTGCTGTTCTGTCTGGCCAGTACGTGGGCTTCTCCATGGTGTCTCTGCTCCTGGAGCTGAACTCTGCCTGCTTGCACCTGCGGAAGCTTCTGCTGCTTTCTGGCCAGGCCCCGTCCCTGGCCTTCAGCGTGACCAGCTGGGCCTCCTTGGCCACCCTGGCCCTCTTCCGCCTGGTGCCGCTGGGGTGGATGAGTCTGTGGCTGCTCCGGCAGCGCCACCAGGTTCCTCTTGCTCTGGTCATCCTGGGTGGAGTTGGGCTGGCCACTGTGGGTGTCATGAGCACCATACTGGGTATCCGCATCCTCGTCAGTGACGTTCTGCGGTTTCGACCCCGTCCGTCCATCCTTGGGCACGAGAAAACCAGGAAGACCAGGACATGTGGTGACGATGGACCCATCACCAGGGACAGTTCCACTATCAACCTGAAAGACTAGAGAGAAGCCATGGCCTCTCCATGGGGGAGATGAGGCCAGGGCCAGGCCCAGGAGATGACGGTCTTCAGTACACAGTCCCCATCAGGGTGAGGCACGCTGACTATCCGCATCTCAGTGTGTCTTCCAGCTAACTCACAACCCTTCCCCTTCCTAGGATCTAAGAAGAAATGCTGATGTTGGGCCAGGTGTGGTGGCTCACACCTGTAATCCCATCACTGTGGGAGGCTGAGGCCGGCGGATCACTTGAGGTCAGGAGTTCAAGACCAGCCTGGCCAACATGGAGAAACCCCATCTCTACTAAAAATAGAAAAATTAGCTGGGCGAGGTGGCTCCCGCCTGTAATCCCAGCACTTGGGAGGCCGAGGTGGGCAGATCACCTGAAGTCAGGAGTTCAAGACCAGCCTGGCCAATATGGTGAAACCCCATCTCTGCTAAAAATACAAAACTGCCGGGCGCGGTGGCTCAAGCCTGTAATCCCAGCACTTTGGGAGGCCGAGGCGGGTGGATCACAAGGTCAAGAGATCGAGACCATCCTGGTCAACATGGTGAAACCCCGTCTCTACTAAAAATACAAAAAATTAGCTGGGCATGGTGGCACGTGCCTGTAATCCCAGCTACTCAGGAGGCTGAGGCAGGAGAATTGCCTGAACCCAGGGGGCGGAGGTTGCGGTGAGCCGAGATCGTGCCATTGCACTCCAGCCTGGGTAACAAGAGCGAAACTCCGTCTCAAAAAAAAAAAAAAAAAAAATACAAAACTTAGCCAGCCATGATGGCTCAAGCCTGTAGTGCCAGCTACTCAGGAGGCTGAGGCAGGAGAATGGCTTGAACTCAGGAGGCAGAGGTTGCAGGAGCCGAGATTGCACCACTGCACTCCAGCCTGGGCAACAGAGCGAGACTCCATCTCAAAAAAAAAAAAAGCTGATGTTGGATGGGTGGGAACCTGGGTTTCTGTTCACTGAAATCCATCATCAGATGAGGACCCTTTCCAGCAAATATACTCAAGAGGCACAGCCGGAGCTATTAGTAAGGGGTGGCAGGAGGCATGAAGCTGGAAGAAACTGCCAGTGGAAGAAACTGCCAGTGGAAACAGAAGCTCTTTGCTTTAGCCGAGGGACAGATGAGGGAAGGCGAGGTCCTACTAGGACTGGTGAGATCTGGTATGGAGTGGGCAGGGTGAGAGAGAAAAGAGTCTCACCTATAACCAAACTCTGGCAGTGGGAGGAAGGCACAGGTGGTGTTATCTGTAGCCAGCAGAGATGGACGTGATAGTTGCCAAGAGACAGAACCTGGGCCAAGGCAATTGCTGCTGATATTTCTGGTTCTCAAACCATGCTCCTGTTTGTTTGCTCTTTGAGATGGAGTCTTGCTCTGTAGCCCAGACTGCAGTGCAGTGGCGTGATCTCGGCTCACTGCAACCTCCGCCTCCTGGGTCCCGGTTTAAGCAATTCTCCTACCTCAGCCTTCCAAGTAGCTGGGATTACAGGCATGAACCACTGTGCCCAGCTAATTTTTGTATTTTTTAGTAGAGACGGGGTTTCACCAGGTTGGACAGTCTGGTCTTCAACTCCTGACCTCGTGATCTGCCTGCCTCAGTCTCCCAAAGTGCTGGGATTACAGGCGTGAGCCACCACACCCGGCCTTTTTTTTTTTTTTTTTTACGGAGTCACTCTGTCGCTAGGCTGTAGTGTAGTGCCACAATCTCGGCTCACTGCAACCTCTGACTCTTAAGTTCAACCTCTGCCTCCCAGGTCCTGCCTTAACCTTGCAAGTAGCTGGGGATTACAGGCATGCGCCACCAAGCCCAGCTAATGTTTGTATTTTTTGATGGAGACGGGATTTCACTACGTTGCCCAGGCTGGTCTCGAACTCCTGACCTCAAGTGATCTACCTGCCTTGGTCTCCCAAAGTGCTGGGATTACAGGTGTGAAGCACTGCGCCTGGCCCACTCTCCTGTTTTTCTACTTAACCCTGGTCCTACTGTGTCTAGCCTTTTTTTTTTTTTTTTTAGTATCTTTTGACTTTACTTTTTTTTTTTTTTTTTTTTTTTTGACACAAGTTCTCCCTCTGTAGCCCAAGATGGAGTGCAATGGCTTGATTTCAGCTCACTGCAACCTCCGCCTCCCAGGCTCAAGCAATTCTCCTGTCTCGAACTTCAGCCTCCCAAGTAGCTGGTACTGCAGGTGCACGCCACTGCACCAGGCTAATTTCTGTGGGTTTTTTTTTTTTTTTTTTTGAGATGGAGTTTCACTCTTGTTGCCCAGGCTGCAGTGCAGTGGCACGATCTCGGCTCACTGCAACCTCCTCCTCCTGGGCTGAAGCGATTCTCCGGCCTCAGCCTCCCGAGTAGCTGGGACTAAAGGCATGTGCCACCACACCCGGCTAATTTTTGTATTTTTAGTAGAGACAGGGTTTCTCCCTGTTGGTCAGGCTGATCTTGAACTCCTGACCTCAAGTGATCCACCCACCTTGGCCTCCCAAAGTGCTGGGATTGTAGGCGTGAGCCACCACACCCAGCCAAAACAATTTTTTTTAATTAAAAAAAAAAAGTTCTATCTTCAAACTTCAATTTTCCATCTTAACTGAATGCCTTGGTTAACAAAAATGTTGTCTGTCTTGAGTTTTTTTAAAAAAAGAAATGTGACGAACTCATGTGAGAAATGTATTCTTTAAATATGTGTTGAGGTTGGGCCAGGCACGGTGGCTTACACCTGTAATCCCTGCACTTTGGGAGGCCAAGGTGGGCAGATTGCCTGAGGTCAGGAGTTCAAGACCAGCCTGGCCAAATTGTTGAAACCCCGTCTCTATAAAAAAAGAAAAAAAGAAAAAAAAGAAATATGTGTTGAGGTTGATATTAATTAATTCTGAGTCATACTCCTTTTCTGTGGCCACTAGCATACATTCATGATGGTATGACTGAGTAGCCCTCTTGGTAATACTTGATAGTGTCTGTGAGGGTGCCCCGGAATTTGACCATTAGGGAAACATGGCTGTTTCTGTGGATTAACTAGTCAAACCCCTATAGAAAGAGTGAGAATAGCTCCTAGTTGGGGCAGGACGTAGCGGACATGTGGAAGTTTGGGAACACGCGAATTGCTACAATGCTGAGCCAGTGAAACTTCAGGAAGGCGGGACTGGATTTTGATTATAATTGAGTGAGTAGGCGTAGAATTGGAGTGTGGGCTACATAAAAATGATGTGAATGAAAGAAGAATGGTCAATTAAGACCCTAAAAAAGGGGCCAGACACAGTGGCTCATGCCTGTAATCCCAGCTACTTGGGAGGCTGAGGCAGGAGAATTGTTTGAACCTGGGAGGCGGAGGTTGCAGTGAGCCAAGATGGAACCATTGCACTCCAGCCTGGGCAACAAGAGTGAAACTCTGTCTCAAAAAACAAAACAAAACAAAACCCTCAAAAGGGAAGTTCAGACATGCAGAGGTTGCCAGATGCTACATTTGTTACGAGTCTGCTCAGCAGGGCGGTGCTCTGTCAGGCCTTACCTCGCCCAGGGAAATGGTCCTCAAGACAGACTCCATGCCTACCAAGCACTTGCAAGTGATTTCTGTGTCCTCCAGGACAGGGAAGGGTTTTCTGGATGGGATACACTGATGTTTTATGATCCTTGAACACTATCCTGATTATAAATTGACAAATTGCTATGCAAATAATTGCCTCCGTCTCTTGTGAGTGTGGTTGCTTTGAGTTACTTTCTGGCTCCGAGGGTGTCCTGATTTACAATGTGATGCCTGATTGTGGAGGCTTTGCCTTGGGAAGGTTTCCACCCTGAAGCGTCCTGTTGTCCTCTACAATCAAAAAGCAAATCCTGGGGGGCGGTGGCTCACGCCTATAATCCCAGCACTTTGGGAGGCCGAGACAGGTGGATCACAAGGTCAAGAGATCGAGACCATCCTGGTCAACACTGTGAAACCCCGTCTCTACTAAAAATACAAAAAAAAAAAAAAAATTAGCTGGGCATGGTGGCGCGTGCCTGTAATCCCAGCTATTCAGGAGGCTGAGGCAGGAGAATTGCCTGAACCCAGGAGGCGGAGGTTGCGGTGAGCCAAGACTGCGCCATTGCACTCCAGCCTGGGTAACAAGAACGAAACTCCGTCTCAAAAAAAAAAAAAAAAAAAAAATTTAAAAAAAAAATAAATAAATAAATAAATAAATAAATAAACTAAAATACCGGCCAGGTGCAGTGGCTCATGCCTGTAATCCTAGCACTTTGGGAGGTCAAGGCAGGAAGATCATTTAAGTCTAGAAGGTCGAGAGCAGCCTGGGAAACATAATGAGAGCCTCATCTCTATAAATAAAAATATTAGCCAGGCGTAGTGGTATGTGCATGTAGTCCCAGCTACTTGGGAGGGTGAGGTGGGAGGATTACTTGAGGGCAGGAATTCGAGACCAGCCAGGGTAACATAGTGAGACCCTGTGTGTAAAAACAATTTTTAAAAAACCCTCTGGAGGTAGAGGCAGGAGAATCTGGGAGGCAGAGGTTGCAGTGAGCCAAGATTGTGCCACTGCACTCCAGCTTGGGCAACAGATGAAGATTCCATCTCAAAAAAAAAAAAAAGAAAAAGAAAAAGAAGCCGGGCATGGTGGCTCACACCTGTAATCCCAGCACTTTGGGAGGCCAAGGTGGGTGGATCACAAGGTCAAGAGATTGAGACCATCCTGGTCAACATGGTGATACTCCATCCCACTAAAAATACAAAAATTAGCTGGGCATGGTGGCACATGCCTGTAATCCCAGCTACTTGGGAGGCTGAGGCAGGAGAATTGCTTGAACCCAATTTCAAGCAAAGGCGGAGGTTGCGGTGAGCCGAGATCGTGCCATTGCACTCCAGCCTGGGTAGCAAGAGCAAAACTCTGTCTCAAAAAGGAAAAAAAAAAAAAAAAAAAAGTCCAATCACAGTGGCTCGCGCCTGTAATCCCAGCACTTTGGGAGTCCAAGGCAGGTTGATCATCTGAGGTTGGGAGTTTGAGACCAGCCTGACCAACATGGAGAAACCCCATCTTATTAAAAAAACAAAAAGGCCATGCATAGTGGTGCATATCTACATTCCTAGCTTCTCAGGAGGCTCAGGCGGGAGGGTCATTCAGCCTCCTGGAGTTGGTGGCTACAGTAAGTCGTAAGTGTGTCCTGCACTCCAGCCTGGGCAACAGTGAAGTCTCTCTTACACACACACAAAATTAAAAAGATAAAATAAGATAGTACACCATTTGAAATA